AACGTGCAATAACATATAATCATGTGCAACAACATGCAATAACGTGCAAAAACGTACAATAATGTGCGAAAACGTGCAATAACATGCAATAACATCCAATAATGTATAATCATGCGCAATTACGTGCAATAACATGCAACAACTTGCAATAATGTGCAAAAACGTGCAATAATATGCAATAATGTGCAATAACATATAATGATCTATAATCTACTATCAAAAAAGTCAATCAATCAATTTTCCTTCAACTTCACAACTGCATGAAACACAAATACTCTGTTACTTCATGTTACTTCTGTTACTTCTAGAAATGTTGGCTATCTATACTTTACTGGGGTAATTATTTTCTAGACAATATTTTTCTTACTTCTCTTTGCATTTTAAAAATAGACTTTTCTATTTTCTTTATGGTCCGTTGATATTAAAAAAAATAAAAACCATCAAAATAATTAGTTTCATCCAAACAATTAATTTCCTTGTGGTTGTACTCGGTGCTGCCCCAACTTGTTGCTCACTACATACCAAAATGAATAGTTTTTCCAAATGATGCAAAGTTAAATGTGACTCTGTTACCATTAGTTACAAAACTAAAAAAATTAAAGTCTAAGGAAGTTATCATCCAGAATGGTAGAAAAATGTTTCTTTAATATAGCAGAGCAGTAAAGCTTCTGGCCTGAACAGTTTTTCCTGCATTACTTTTACTTTTATACTTTAAGTACTTTAACAAAATGGTACTTTTACACTTTCACTGGAGTAAAAAGCTGAAGTTGATCCTCTAACTTCTAAAAAAGTGTTTTTAAACAGCAGGATTTATACTTCTACTTCAGTAATAAATATAAATACTTTTGAAAGCTCTGAATAAGAAACACAGACTGCTTTAATTTGACTGTAAAAAAATAAAAATAAAAAAAAGCCAACATGTTACTTTAGCAAAAAACACTGAATAAGTTAGAAGCCTTTTATATTTCCATATATTTTTAAAACAGCTGATTCTATGTTTATTTTTATTGTCTTGCAGATATTTTCCAAAGTCTGAAGAGCTGATTTCTGCTGAATGTTGCCATGGGAACAGCTGACCTCCTTTAATCTGCTGTTATGGAAAGTTTTAGCTGCCTTTTTTATAACCGAGTCACAGAGTGGCTGAACAGGTCTTTGTTTACTCATCAGAGACGTGTGATGTCACATGGTGTCCCCGCGTTACGCCAGCAGCCATTCATAAAACCCCAGGCCAAACGATGCTTCCGGTTATTTGTGCAAACAGGTCATGAAAACAGGAACCTAGAGAAGTTAATCCAGGAAACTGGAAATCTGAAAGCTCCAAAAACAGATTTCCAGTCTTTGTGAGCCTGAGCCTGATTACTGCTAACAAACCTGTTGGGCAACTGAGTCAGAAATGGAAATCCAGGGTTGTGTGAGGGCAGTTAGGGCTTTCAGAGCCCATTTTACTTTCACATTAACATCTTTCTTATCATCCATGCAGCATAAACTGCTGCCTGCAGTTCAAACTGTCCTCATTGTTGACACTAACTAGCTAGCCAGCTAACTAAAGGTTTCTATTATTGGTTAAATGTTGATTTATTTATTTAAGGAGGCTGTAACCAGGGAATATACTTAACATTTATTCATTTGATTTAGATTATTCCTGCAACTAACAATTATTTTACAAACTAATTAATCTCTCGATTATTTTTCAGATTATTATTCAAATATAAAAATGTTCATTAGAGAAGTCTTTTTACAAAATAACTAAAACCTTTCCCCCTGAGCAGTTCTGGATAAAGCAGATTAACAGATGGAAAAGATTTTTTAATCTTAAATGCAAAATGTATATATATTATTTTACAATCTTTGTATAATTCCTGCTCTAAGTGGGTGGCTCAGTCACTATACTCCTGTTAACAATTAATCAATTACTAAACGATTATTTTATTTATAGATTAATCCGTTAATTTCAACACTATTTTTAGGCGGAATAAAGAGGAGTCAGATCAATTAGCTGCCATTAGAAAAGGGAAAGTGCCAATAATTTTGTAAATAATTACATTTTGCATGACGTGTGACGCAGCTAGAGGACAATCACCTTATTTTAAGAAAGTCTTTTTATTTAAAAAACGACCACAAAATAGAATCTAAAGGTTTTAGATCTATGTGCTCTATTGTGGCCCTCTGTCAGCAGCAAACGAGGTCCTTTTGGGTCAATACTCTAGACTTTTCTGAGGGGGGTTAAGGGATAGGGAGGAGGAAACGAACACCAGCCATTGATGGATTGCATGAGGACACAAGGAGGAAATAAAGGAATGGAGGCTTGGAAGCAGGTTTTTCTTCGGCCTAATTGGGGTGAAAGGAAAACTAGGAGTGATTAAAGAGTTTAATGTTTCCACATCGTCATTCATGCCGCGCAAAGACGACGCCTGTTCTGAGTGTTTATCTGCATAATGAAAAATGAATGTCATTGATGAACTGAAGTTGTTTTCCTCCAAATGTTTGTTTGTTAGGAAGATCTTTATGCAGGGGGGGGGTGATGGTCCCACGGGAGAGAGTGTTTGGATTTGTACAGAATAAATGGGTTTTCTCCAGTCAGAGCTTTTCTCTCCGTCTAAGGACGTAAAATAAATTTAAACTTTCTCTTGCAAGAGTCTCAGTTTCTGCACAGCTTCACAGAGGATAGAGAAAAGTGGAGGAAGGAATGATTAGCAAAATTAGTTAACAAGGATGGAAACAAAGAACATCAAAATAATATAAGGCACAAAAAAGGAAAGAAAGAAGACAGAAGTTTAAAAAGTCCAAACCAAGAACTAAACTATGATCTACAAATAAATACATTTCTTCATCAGACCTGATATATATCAAAGCAGATTGTTTAGGTAGGATTTGTTCACACAGCAGGAAAATGCTTATTATAAAAAAACCATGCAAAAAAGTAGAAAATGAAATCAAAATTTGTTTTCTAAGTCAGGTTTGCTTCTAGAGCATCACAGAAAAAAAAAACTTATTTAAGCAACAATACTTCAAAGTTTATTTGGAGTGTTTTTCCCACTGATTCATCGTTACAGAGTTAAAAACAAGAAAAAAAACAATCATCTGCCTAAGAAGCAAATATTGCACTAAATTCTTCATTTTAATGATCAAAACACTTTGATTTAAAACAGCAGAACCAAACTGGGCAATCAGAAGGTCGGCTGTGAGGTAAATCTTCATTTTTCTCATTTATGGCTTCTTTATTCTACTGTTCATTGAAAAGTGCAAATGTACGTTTGAAGCTCCGTGATTAAATGTAATAAAACTTTATCTTCTGAACGCCGTGAAGCTTGAAGGTTTGATTAACGGTCAGATTAAATGAAGGCAGCGGTGAGGAGGGCGGCCATGTTGGATGGGATACATGAGCATTATATTTAGTGTTGCACCGATACCAGTATAGGGCACCGATACCAGTATAGGGCACCGATACCAGTATAGGGCACCGATACCAGTATAGGACACAGATACCAGTATAGGGCACCGATACCAGTATTGAGCACCGATACCATTCTGAGAGGCTAAAGTTTCTTCATCTATTGTCCCCCATTCCAGGTCGGCAATAAAAAGTTCTACTGGATTCTCTTTGTTTTAGTCTGTTTCCTGCTTCACAAAGGAAGGCAGCAGCTTGAAGCCATGATGGTGATTATTCTACATCCAAGTAGTTCTTCATAAATAAACACACATCAATTTCAAACAGATGGAATCGGCCGATTCTGCACAGCTGGGTATCAGGGCCGAAAATTTGCATCGGTGCAACACTAATTACATGTTTATAGGGGAACAAACGCTGCATATTTCAAGTAAGAGGCCATTTAACTCCATGAAAGGTTTTTATTCTGCAGGATCCAGAGTTTCAGTCTGTTGGTGGATAAGTTGAGCTCCGATACGTCTACTGCTCTGTGGAATATTTCTATCAAGGATTGAAAATAATGGAGACGGCAGCGCAGCAATAATCCCATCAGGTCGATCGTCTCGTTACACTTCCTGCTTCCATTGACTGACTTCTGAAAACTCCTCGGGACTCGGTGGTTCTGCCGAGTTATTTAACTCTGGTCTGTGAGGTAGAAGCCCAGCTTAGCCACGGTCATCTCTCTACGAAGTCGCATCACCTCCCAGAACATCTGCTCCGCTGAAAGAGAACAGAAAATAAATTAGCTTCTAAATTAAATCCGATCTACAAAGCAAAGCTGCCGGTCGGGTAGATTTACCGTTTTGTCTCACCAGGCCCTGCTGGATGTACCGGATGTATGTGAAGAAATTACACACCGCCGTGATCTAGAGAGACGACATGACACATTCAAACACGGTAGCTCTTCTTCTTCTTCTCAGCGGCGGAAACGTTTCTAAAGAGGAGAGTAAATCAGAGAGCAGCCGTACCCGAGCTCGGCTGGACGGAGAGATGTAGTAGTAGCTCCCCTTGTCGCCAAGTTTGATGCGATGTCGGCAGACGCGTGACAAACCGCTCAAAGCACATTTTCTGCAACAAGACAAAGAGATTTTCACCTTTTATTTATTTAACAGTATTTAACAGACCGCTATCAGGAGTAGTTTCTCATTTGATGACGTTGCAATAATAAATCTATGTATTCTGCTGGGATTTTATGGCAAAACAAAAAATAGTTCACAATAATGAGGCGGACGTTAAAGAAAAGGGTAACGCTTCAATAACCATGGAATAACTTAGCAAGTAACATATTACTAGTTAACAAGAAACACTTTATGGAGAATTTAGGTCAGACTACTTAGATGTCAAACTGTTATTGCCAGGAACTTTTCAACAACAGCAATAAATTAATGTGTTATCCATAAAAATGCAGTTTATAATGATTTATTAACCTGATCATAAGTTACAGCTGTTGGTAGGTGGTGGCCAATAATAGAAGCTGTTATCTGTTAACATGCAGCTAATTACTCACCAATAGTCTCTATTGTTACATAGTAAGATACAATTGTAATAATTACATGCAGGTAATTACCTGCTTATATACCTTAATTATTGGTTATTACTAAATAAAGTTTTTCTTGTTCTCAAGTTATAAAGTGTGACTTTCTATCTTATTACCATGTTGTTACAAGGTTATTGATTTACTGTAAAGAAAGCGTTACGTATACATCTAGATCAGAGGTCTTCAACAGGGGGTCAGCGACACCTAGGGGGTCCACAGAGGTACTGCATGGGGGTCGCTAA